ACAGTAGAATTTTTAGTGACTAAAAATTTAGTCGCCGAAATGTCACATTTGTCGACTAACTAAGGATTCATAGCCAAATGTTCACTTTCGGTGACCAATTCTTTCGTAGCAAAAAGGAACACCTTCCCCGACCACACGAACGTCAATAGCCAAAAGTCACATTCGGCGACTAACGGTTTTAGTGGCGAAAAGCTAACATTTGCGGACTAAAATAAATTTAGTAGGCAAATGTTTCACTTTCAGCCACCAAATAAAGTTTAGTTGCCAATACTATTGCCAACAAGATATAGGCGACGAACTTGGCGACAGAACTTTTTAGTCGCTAAATGGTTTCAGCGATCAAATTTTGAACTTTTGGCGACCAATATCACACCACATGCGTGAAGCAAAGAAGCTGCTCACGAGCTCTCCCCTGTATGTTTTCTTCCTTTTCTTCCTTATATATTGTTCCTTTTGTTCTCTCATACTCACAAACATATACACTCACTCACTAATTCAACAAAACACATCCACACACTTACTAATTCATAAAAACAAATTCACAATAATTTAGCAGTGATAAATTTATCATTGAGAAAATGTTATCAGCGATAAATTTCATACTCACATACGTGCACTCACTTACTAATTCACAAAAAAAAAAATTTACAAAAATTCAACAGTGATAAATTTATCACTCGTTTAAACAAATTTATCACTGGTTTATCAATGGTTTAAACAAAATTATCACTGATTTAAATAAATTTATTACTAGTTTAAACAGATTTATCACTGGGATCTTCCCCAATATACAGAAAGAGAGAGAGAAAGAGAAGACTCGGCGGCAAAAAGCCTAGAGCCTAGATCCTAGATCTAGAGGTAGAGGCGACGACGACTATGGAGGTAAAGGCAGTAGTGGTGGGCAACAACGGTGGGAGTGGAGGCGAAGACGTTGGTGGAGGTAAAAGCAATGGTGAAAGTGGAAGAAGATGTCGATAGTGGAGGCGGCAATGGTCGACAGGTTCTCTTTCATATATGTAAGCTTTCTTTCTTCCTCCACTGAAAGAGAGAGACACGTCCAATTTGTTAAAACATTTTATTGATTGTCTGCATTTAAACAAATTTAGAGAGAGAGAGAGAGATGAAGCATTGGAGTCAGGTGGTGTTCTTGGTTTTGTTATTAATCCAAGTAGAAGCACAAGATGGGTTCATCAAAACCAGTGGATTTTTTTTTTTTTTTTTTGAACTTTTTTTTTATCTCAAATTAAAATAGTTAAAAAGTTAAAAACATTAACTCACATTTTAAATGAACCATATATATATATATATGGAAAATGCCTCTGACCCCATGTGGAGGTGCTGGGGGTCGTGCGTGTAGGGCCTGATTGGGCGGAAAAAAAAAAATTGTTTTTTTTTTTGTTTTGGGGAGATTAAGGACCTGTTAGGTAATAACTCTTAAAAATAGGACTGACCCGTAAAAATTTCCCTTTTTTTTTGGGGGGTGGGGGGGTTCTATGTATTATATAATTTCCATTCCGTCTTGACTTAATCTTTGATAGCTAAAACTTGAGGAAAAAATAATTTGGAGGAAATGGAAAATGGAATTTAGGTAAATTCTCATTGAAGGCAAGTTTATAAATAAAGTTTTTATCATTTTTCAGTGCACAAAAATAATTATTGTTCAATTGCCAAAAGTTAAAATAATTAGCATTTTTGGCGATAATATTTTCTTTTTTCCTCATAATTATTTGAATTTTTTTCTTATTGTTAACAATCTCTTGCCCAAACACAAAAATCAAAAGTACAACAGTAGATATGATCAACATATAAATTCTTTTTGATTTATCACAGACTGACTTTTTTTATAAATAATTGAATATTGAATCGAGATATACCTCTTGTGCTTTGATTCTTTGGTAGATCTTTGATTTCCGATTTGGTTTTGAAGTTGGTGTGGATGAGATTGAATAAGCTCAGGCTGATTAGGCTGAGTAGATTATGCATAGGCATAAAAAGGATACTGAAAGGCGATAGAGTCAAGGTGTGATCGAATTTGCGTCTAACAAGTTAAAATGTCAAACTTGTAGTCAAGAGGTGGAAAGCTTGATGAATTTACAGCCACACATTTGCATTGAAGTTAGATTGTCAATGTGTCAAACTAGATTTCGAAATTTATAACCGTACATTTGCATTGAAGTTACACTATCAACATGTCAAACTAGATTTAACACCAGGAGTTCAACTAGATTAAGAGCCTATTATGAAGCCGAATCTCTCTCTTGCATATAAGAACTACATCAAAAGGCAACCTACTCAAACTCAACTACAAAATGAACAAAAGTAAGCTCAATCGAGATCATTTGTCAAATAAATGAAAAGGTCATAATTTTATTTAGAAGTTTGTTTAATCTCTCTCAACTCTCCTATTTAGGAAGATTATGTGAAAGTAGGTGTGGCTTTTTTTTGCTGAGGCTATAAAATGAAAAGTTATTAAAGTTAAGCTCTTACTCTATTGACTACAAATTTATTCAAAATTGTCTCATGACAATCTAGGATTACACACATATTTTAAATTAATAATTTTCTTATTGGGCTTAAACTTGGCTTCGTATCTAATAAGCACTATAAGTGGTTGTTTGAAATGTGCTATATAAGTGTACTTTTTATTTTTTTGCTAAAAAAGTATTGAAAAAAATATGTATGTTTGGGATAATTTATGGCGTTTTATGAAATGTGTGTTATAAAATATTACAAAAAGAAATGAAATTACCGTTCTACCCTTGCTTTTTCACCAATGACACATGTTGCAGTAGCTGAAAAAACCGTGTAGATCAATTTATTTATTTTTTTCTTTTTAAATTTCCACATATGCTTCTATGGTTCACATTGTAACACAGAGCTCAGCCAAGGAGATGGGATGTCATATGTCCGAACAATGTTGAATTCAAAGGACAATTGCATGTGATAGCAAAAGTAAGGGCAAAACTATCTTTTCGCAGTGCAAGGCTTCGCCCACACACTTCCTGCCCAAAATCCCAAATAGTATATATTTTTTGACTTTTTTAGTAATTTTTTGACTCTTTGTACTACGGTAGATGATGCCAAACAACCCCTAAAACTTCAAAAAATCAACTACTCAAGCTAATTTAGTTAATATATCTTCTTGAAAAATATAAACAAATTTACCTTAAAGGCATTTTGGTTATAAAATTGTTTTGCATGATTGTTTGGAATGATTTAAATAAATATACTTTTTGACTTTTTACGAAAAAATGTGCAGAAAAGTAGAGAACTGATGTGACTTCAAAAAGATAAAAAGTGTACTTATATAATACACCCCAAACAAGCTGGTGAAAATTTACCCTTTATCTACTTAGGCCTATATTTGAATTTTAAATTTGTATAGGATATTTCATTCACTTTTTTCTAATTTTTATAAATTTAAGATCCAATTAAATCACCCAAAATAAGTTGCTAGAATGTAACTAGGAATGATAATACTACTACATCATGCCACATGACATGACAGACAGGAGATAGTTTGTTAAGCAATCCCATAACTGTTGAGAGTGTTTTGAGTTGGGTGGGTTACAAATAAATTTATGCGGGTTGATTTGTGTGCGGGGTTCAAAATATTCAACCTACCAAAACAAACAACCCAACCCACTAGATCTTATATGTATAAATCAAATACCCTAGCCATAAACAAATCTCATTTTTTTTTATGGACACTTACTAATAAGTTTCATATATAAAATTTAAAATTCATCTAATTTTAAAATAAAATATTTACACTAATTAATCCTACATATTTTTAATTATTGCCAAAAATTCTTTTTTATTTTTTATTTTTATAACTTTAAAAATACTGTTACATCCAATGACTTCCGTCAGACTAACCGAAAACTCACCGGAATATTCAACATTACCGGAAATTCGCCAAAGCATCACCAGAAGTTCGTCGAAGTGTTCTGAACGTCACTGAAAAATGTCAAGAACATGATCGGAGACTCACCGGAATATTCAAAATATTACTGGGGAAAAAAAATAGAGAAATTATAGTTAAAAAACATAACAACAAACAATAATGGGAAAAAATATATATTATTTTTCAATTTTTGTAGGAATTAAACAAATAATCTGTAATATTGATCAAACTAAAAAGTAAGCTTTGAAACTGCAAACATTACAGTTTTAAAGCATTATTCTATTAAGCTGAAAAACATGTTATGAAATTGTAAAATTTTACAATTCTAAATAATGTTATGAAACAGGAAAATTTTACAGTTTTAAAATATTATTTACTTCAGCACCAAAAAAGTTGAAACTGTAAAATTTTACAGTTTTTACTGCCTATAACTAAAACTTAAAAACAACTTATTCAGAACTTCAAATTTTTTTCCATTAAAATAGAAAATTAGACGTGTAACAGAAAAAAAGTAAAAAAATTGAGAAATCGAAGAAAATAATAAATATAGAAAGAATATTGTACTCCGATGACTATTTTTGATTTAGATCTAGTTGAATCTTATGTAAATCTACTCAAATCTTATGTAGATCTCATCTTCTTCGCCGTCGATGCAGATGAAGTCACAAGTTGATGTCGGTGGTTGGTAATTACCGGTAAATCCCAATCAATGGTGATCGTCAGTCACCGGTGACTATATATTAGAAAAAGAAAGATAATAAGAAATATGTGATCACCGGTCACCGAACATGACAGAGAACAAAGAGAAAGAAAAGAAAACGCTTTAAAAAAAATTTAAAAAAAAAAAAAAAAAAAGACGCAAGGTATGAAACAAAAAAGAGAGGAAAACGTATAGGACTTTTGAATCTACTCAAAAAATTATTGAATTAAATAATGTACAAATTTCAAACAGAACGTACGGGTAATTTCCTTTTTTTTATTTTGTAGCTTCGCAATTACCTCATAAGGCTTATGGTTTTAAAATATGTTTATACAATGTGTAAGAATTTACAACACGCTAACCGCCTAACCAATTGGTTCAAAACCAACAAAATATTAAAACTAACCCACTAGGTTGTGTGGGCTAATAAATTGTCAACCCAACAAGGGCAGTTTGGTTGACATTATTTCTTGATACTTGCGCTTCAAATTTTTGGTTCCTTCTGTTGAGCAGTTCATTTATAACCACCACCAAATACATGGGAAAAAAGGTATGAAAGTACTTGCAGTTAATCTCCTAAAAAGAAAACACAGACAGAAGCCTTTTTGTTTCCTCTTCTCTATAGGACCAAAGGTTGTTACAAATGAATCTCATACATGATTTTTTTTTAAAAAAATTAACTAAGCACGGTTAGGGTAGCAATATTACAATAAACAAGGGTGAACTTTACTAGCCGGATCAGCAAAAGTTGAACCTCCTGACTAGGGTGACAACAAATTATGCTTACAAATGTAACAATACCCAGATCAGTAAATCAGTGAGGGAGCTCATCTTCTCAAAATCAACGGCCTTTTCTGGCAACAAACAAATATATATATATCCAGGCACATTTAGCTTCTCATAGGATCAGCAAGGTTTTGGCATTGTTCAAGTATCATATTACAATTGTTCATTGTCCGTGCATCAAGGAGACCGTGATTCCACAGTTTGATCATAAATAATTTCCAACACCTGCCAAGCGCAAAAGCATAGTGATAATTCAGAAGCACATTCACATCAGCATAAGAATGAACATTTTTTTTTCTTCAAAAAATGCACTAATAGAGGATTTGCAATGGATCTAAACTAGTGAGAAATAACTTGAATGTAAATGCATCAAATGGAACATAATTGCAATGTGTTGACAGTAACATGCAGAAGTGGCACTTAACTCCCCACCCCAAAACACAAAAATATGGTTCACTTGAGGGATTGCCCTAGTTTGGCTAAAGGCAACCAATATGTTTCATAGAGAATTTAGAAACCTTAAAAACAACAGTCCATAAAGTAATTATAGAACCAAAAAATATATACTAGAAGAGCAATGCTAGGGTGACCACATTTGGGAAAATGTGGTCACCTCACCCTAGTAGCATTATACAAAAATATTATGTCTTTAGCAACTGTCTGCATATGAAGAGAGGCAACATTGTTACTTTAAAACAACCATAAGTCACAAACAAGTATACGACAGAGGGTCAAATTCAAGTGTGTACTGCCACAACATAACAAATGAGGAGGAGAGAAGCTACCAAAGCAGTGGTGGTGCACGAACAAGGTCCTGACCATGAAACTTCGAAAATGCCTCGCATGCCCAAGAAACATGACCATCAGCCAGCACCCTGCCATTATGACCAACAATATACATCTACAATGAAACCCTAAAAATTCACAATCACAAATTCTACATTGGAGACATTTTGCAAATTCTAAAAAATGAAGCTACAAGAATAGAGCCTATCCATATTTTTATTGAGATTCAAGAAGATACAAGTTGGTTGGATGGCTTCTGACAGCAAACACCAACACATGCCATGTACATGTTTTATCTTGTGTAAGACATGGGCAATGATGTCAAGCATAATGGAGAGTGAAGATTACCGTTGCTTCCTCACAAATGAGTTCCAGAGATGCATCATTTGCTTCTCATCTTTGGTGACATCAACAAAATCATCAAGCATCTGCAACATATCAGAGTGCACCAATGTTAACATAAAAATGCAGAGACTAGAAATAAGAAAACATCTGGTTATAGGAGCAATATAAAGCACTGTTGGATCCAAGACGCTTAATCCATTATGTTAAATCATCAGTTTATAAGGTGCCCTCAGCTTATGCCACAATGTAAGGCACAAGGAGAACACTACGATTCTTACGTAACATGAACCGGGGTGCTTTTAATGGACACTCATTTTCAACCTGAGGTTCTCTACTGTCTAGATTATAAGCCTCAAAGGCTGATATAATATTAATCATCGAAAAACAACAGTTTATCATGGGTTACTTAGTGCTGAACCAAAAACCAGTTAAATTTTTGATTGAGGATTCTTAGACAGGGATGTCATTTCTCCCCTTTTTTTTGTCATAACAATGGAGACTTTTTAGTAAGATCTTACCAAGAGCAGTGGAGGAAGGTAAGTTGAGTGGATTTGAGGTCAATACTAACGGTAGAGAAGATACATCAATTTCCACCTTTTATTTGCTGACAGGGTTATTGAAAAGTAAAACATATTGTGTATTGTTGTATCACTTGTACATGAATTGCCAATCGCACATATAGTACTAAGTTACATTAACCTATATGAACAATAGGTTGGGAAAAAATAAAGAGTGACTTAAGAATAAATTAAGGACATATTGCAAGGTTGAAGTACTAATCCATCTCCAACAAATGACATGACAAGTATATGACTAAAAGAAACTTAATGGGTATGAAATTATTGCTCCAAGAGGTAAACACATGCATTCATTATTAGCCCAAGTATCCAACATCTAAGAAATTAAGAGAGTTAAGTACAAGAAATAGAAGAAAAGAAACCTATACGGATGAAGCTCTCAATTTTCTACAAAATTGAAGATCCTAATTAGAATTTTCTAAGCCTCATAATAACCATCTATGAGAACCCAAGACATGACCCACTGTCAACACCTACAGCAAATGTCCAACAATTTCCAAAATACCAAAATGCCTCAAACGACTGAAGCCTAATTAAAAACTAATAAATCTGTACAATAACACTCCAAGTTATAAAATACATAAAAATAATAATACCCAAATAAAAAAAATCATAACTATATAAATCCCAAAGGGTGATACATGTGAAATTCCAAATTTGTCCTTTTCTACTTTCCATAGCCTGCATCAATAGTACTTAGACTTCATCATGACTTCCAACTTGCAAATCATATTGCAGAAAAATGATTCATCAATTACACATTACTGTCATCCTTTATGATTAACTTCTCAAAAAGTAAACCACAATGGCTAAACAAAAAAAAAAAAGAACACCTACAAGCCTAGCAAAAAATTCTTCTCCAAGGCAACCTTGAAATCATTCATTTTTTGCCTCAGCTACCATCAACCATGAACAAGAAGTTCATAATTCCAATAGAAGTCCCAAAGGACACAAATGAGTGCGAGGCATGAGAATAGATACTCAAGTGCACAATGAAAAGTTCATGAATGCATACAAACAAATACACAAAAAATGAAGATAATAATAATAATAATAAATTGCGAATAAAGGTCATATAATGATCCAACATACCCTTCTATCTTCAAAATCTGCAACATCATCATCAACTTCGTCCTCACTGTCCCGATCTGACAAGGCTTGCTCTAATTCCATTGGCTTGAATCACAAAAGTAGTTCAGATACATTGATGCATAGTTTCCAAGAATCATATAAACCTTAGGTTATTGATTCGCCAAATAAAAAATGAAAAAGTTAAATGATGTTGCATTTTTAGATACGAAAAAAATTAAAAAATTAAAAAAAAACTCAAGGTTTGCCCTCGTAACAAAATAAACTCCAAGTTTTTAATTTTGTCAATTCAAACCCTAATCTTTTGATTTCTTTTCAATCTAAACCATCTACACATTTTCATTAAGTAAAGCGGACGAAAAAAATGGTATTTTAGTCATTAAACTCAACGAAACAAGGTATTTTAGGCATTTTATGTACACTGTCATTAAGTTTAATGACTAAAATACTCTTTTCCCGTTAGTTTTACTTAACGGAAATAGGTTTATGGTCTAGATTGAAAACAAATCATAAGATTAGAGTTTAAATTGACAAAATTAAAAACTCAAGGTTTATTTCATAACAAGGATTTTTTTTTTTTTTTAAATTTTTTTTGTAGTTTCCCCTAAAATAAATGCAACATTAACCACATTATCAGTAGGAGCACAGCAATATCAGGAGTTTGACATCTACATTTTTGCCTGTCAATCCATTCTGCTTGACAGGCAAAATTCTTTCCCACTCAGTATCAGAAACTTACTCCACTAAATAAATGATGGCAGCAAGGGGGAAAAAGATGGTCTAAACATTTTGCAGGATACTCAATGCCCATTGAAAAGGCCCTCCATTGTAGTCCACAAACAATTCAACAACAATAACAAAATTTTGTTTAAATCAGAAAAATATTTTCATTGCTTGTTTACATGTAAAGATGAGCCCAGGCTGAACAACTCAAAAAAAAAGAAAAGGAAACACTCTGTTTGTTTTCAGTTTTCAGAATTCACTTTTTAGAAAATTCTACTTTTTTGTTTCCGTATTTTTTTGTTTTCACTGAATTTTTTTAACATTTTAAGCAATATTTTTAATTTTTAAACACAGCTAACATACATAGACTTAGAAAATATAATATTTGCGAAAAAATCTTTAAAAAATTCACTAAATACCAAAAATACAAAATAATACGAAAATTCATTACATTTTTTGAATTTTTATGTATTTATTAATTTTTTAAAATATTTTTTCACAAATAATTTACTATTTAGACACATCTAAGTAAGGTACATCTAAAAAAGTAAAAAAAATTGCTTAAAATTTAAAAAAATTTCACTAAAAACAAAAAAACACGAAAAATAAAAAACTCAATTTTCAGAAAACTGAAACGAAACACACTGTTTTAAGCTGGATGACGAAGCATGAGAATATATCCTTCAATCTCTTAATAAAATTGCACCTCCAAAACCTTATCACAAAATGCTGATTCCGAATTCTGAGTTCACCCAACATAAACTCTTTTAAGTGAAAGAAAATAGGCACTTTACAATGAAAACATGCAGAGATCACGAAGCATACAAGGAACGAAGTCATAAATCAGAAAGAGCACCCAGTCACCTGTGCTCTATGTGAGTGAAAGAACTGTCGCTTCTGCAGAAGGGCGCGACTGAAAGGAAAAAACAAATACACCTGATCAAATCTAAACTCACAAAATCAAATACATAACCCAATCTAGACATCATATTTCTAATGAAAGAAGGAAGCAGCATAAATGGAAAGATGTAATATCTGACCTCTCGGACAGATTATGAACTGATAATAAAACCAACATTCAGAATGAAATATGTCAAATCAACAACATACATCATATAAAGGCCCCGTTTGGGAAGTTGGGCATTTTAGTAGGTTATTTTTGTTTTTGGCTATTTTAGTAGGCTAAAATATTTGTGTTTTGGAAGAGGGTTGGATTTTTGTAGTTGAATGTGATGTTTGTAAGGAAAAAAAAAATGTGATGTTTGTAAGAAAAAAAAAAAAAAAAGTGAAATGATTATGGATTTGATGTAACATTTTGTCTTATTGGCTATTTTAGTCTATTTTGTCTTTTAGTGCTATTTTAGCCCAAAAAACTAAAAAAGCTTCTTCCCAAACACCCAAATTGTAATCACTTAACCAACCAACTCAACTCAATAATGTGATACCCTCAATGACTTTGGATTTTTCAATACTGCGCACTCTTAAACCTGACTCAATGCACCACATTTAATTAAGTTGATTAAAGAACCGCAGCCTTAAGCCTTAGTCCTTTTCAAAAACAACTAGACGTTTGTGCTGCACATTATCACCTAGGCTTCGCAATCACATAAGCTGCAGAAATTGGACAACAGTATAGTTCTGTAACACTTCTGTTTATTAACAAGGCTTTAGTCCCAAGGTAAGCAATGTAATGCAACACCCATTTAGGTTCCATGTCTGACAGCAATTTAAATTAAAGGTGGCACAACATATAAACGCTTTTTCTTCCATGCATGACAGCAACTTAAATTCAAGGCACCACTTGTTGGAAGAATTTTCCAGAATAATGTTGAACAAGCTTTTGAAGTAAGATGACGGAAGTCATCTAATCTAGCTGATTCCAGATTTGGAAAATATGGCTAGTGCTGAACTTGAGCACTGCAGAGGCCCAACACCACTGCCCTAGCACCTATGGCCAAAAAATGACTTCCAATTTCTTGCACAATCGTTTGCGTATCCTTTGGCATGCATGCCAACCATTCAGGAAAAGCTCCTAGAGTCAGATGGCAATATCATCTAATCTAGCAGGGAACAGGTGTGAACAATATGCCTGTTGGTCCACAGGACTCCAACACTGCTTTTGGGGCCTTGCTGATGCATCTACTTTCATGTCCTCCAGATAGCCTGCATGCCTGCCACCTACCATTTAGGTGCTAATGCAGTTGGCCGGCAGTCCATCAATGATTGACTAATTTAACTGTTACAGTATGAATCCTTTCATTGCAAGAAGAGTCAAACTTCTTCAGAATTATGTGCAACAATGCTAAAAAAATAAGACTGGTAAACGTACTTTCTTGGGTCAGAACGTTCAATGGATAACTTTCTTGTCTTTGCAAATTGTAGCATGGTAGGAGGTGCAAGGTGGCTTCCAGATACAGATTGGACACATTCAGGATCTGCAAATGACTGAGCTGAAGCAGTTGAAACCCCAGTGGCATTAGGGCTAGATGTATCACGTTCCGCACACTCCGCAATACCTAAAATGAAAGCATACCAATCATTCCCTCTAGAAATATTAGTCTATAACCCTTGAGGGCACACAATCTGAGACAACAGTTTGGATTTTCAATGATCTAAAAATGAAGCATGAGAAAATATGCTTATATACATCACATTGATTTTTTTTTTTTTTTTCTTCTCCTCTTTGACCAGGCCAAAAGGAAGAGATTAGTTAGTTTCCAGCAGATGTCAGTATAAGGAGATCATTAGCCTCCAGCTTATGATAGCAGTCACATTTGTCAGTCTTTTGAGGATAAGAATAAGGTATCAGGCATATTTCTTCGAGCTCAGTTGCATGTACCTAACAAGAGTATTATAAGCAGACAATCTTGGGCAAGATGAAAGAAAATAATTAACAAAAGCTGTTCAATGATGCCACACATACAGCAAACAAACAACTTATGCATCATTTCAGCTACAAAGGCAAGACCATGAAATATAATTACTGAGTAACAACAAATTATATCAACCATACATAAGAATCCATTAACCAATCTCCTAAAGAAAAGCCAGGAGAGGCTTTCCAGTCAACCAAAACTGAAGATATGGCACAAGAAAAGCACACGTACCGTCGAACTGAAGATATGGCACAAGAAAAGCACACGTACCGTCAGCCTTTCCCCGAAGCTCATTGACTGCCACAGGAAAGTCAGAATCCAAGAGAAGTGGATGCACATGCTTTGCAATTTGAAGTAGGCTTCGTAGTTTTTTGCGTCTCAGTGGCTTTGAACTGTACACAAATTGTGTCCACCCATTTTAGGTAATTGGCATTCATACTAATAATGGTAGCAACAGAAGAAACTTTTTAATTCCAAAAGGAAGCAAAATAATATAAATGAGTACACAAATACATATGTTTAACTTACCAAAAGAAAATTGTTTGTTGCTTAGGATCAACACCATCCGCAACAATCTGAGCAGAAAAATATAGGAAAAAAATTCAATAACACGTAGAAAATGCCTTTCTAGCTCATACCAAAACAAGACATTTGTCTAATTTTGGTAGCAATGTACATGTGTCAACAAATCAAGCCATAGCAGTATCCAGTTGGATGAGGTATTAGTTGTGTGATAAAAAGAATTGAAAAAATTTTACATCACCAAACTCAGTCTAAAATCATTTGATCCTATATCTGGAGGATAATGTACAGAAAATTTAACATATACTACACAAACAGAGACTTCACCAGGAAGTGTGTCATGACTGTACGTACTGGTTTTTCTCATCAAGAAAATATGCAACTTTGGCAGGAATGGCAGGAATGTGCATTCAAATAGTATAAATATAAGCACAGTGTATATATAGGCATATCTGTATATGTACGCATTTAAAAACATGTATTAGATGCCACCAATTGAAGTACTATTACCAATCCCCATAATGACTTTTCAGAAGAAATAGTTTTCTGACCTCAGGTCTCCATATATCAGTTTTCACAGATACATTTACAGCTTGATACTCATCAGTGACCTACAGAATATGAATGTGGTTAGTAGCTATTGTTTGAAAGAGATAAGTGAACCAATGCCCTTTGCTGATTCTTGAAGTTTACCAACCCAAAACTCAAAATTGAACAGGTCATGTGATGAGGATAAATGATATCTGAGGCCCTATAAAAAAAAGTTGAAGACTTTGTTAGAATGAAGTCTAAATCTAGATTTTGTCCATTCACTATGCATTTTCAAGAGAGAGAGAACCTTAAAGCTTGCACACTTTAACAAGCAGAATGGACAGGAGAAGTCTTCTGTCACTGCACGTGCAGAGTGTATATCAGATCCATAACTCAAACTTCAATCAATGAGTACCAAATTTTGTGAGGAAAGCTGATGTATTCATCATAATAAGGATTCAGGGAAAAAAATCAAAAGAAATTGTACAAGAAATCAGGAAAGGAAAAAAAATGGATCCAGATAACCACAGAACAATTGCCAAAACATCAGGCAGAAAGATCAGAAGTTAACAGATGCGTAAGGGTTGTGGGGGTAATCAGGTGAGAAGTGTTTACAATTGGGCAGACACAGACTGTCTTAGTCTCAAACTTATTCACCTGAAACATATTCAACTCAACACCATGAAGTAACCACAGTGCAATATTAAAAAACTATTTTCCTACTGAAAAACTTCAGCAGAAGACATGACAACATGCAGAGTTGAAAGAAATATGCATGTCACTAAGTGTGAAGTACCAGGAGAAACTTGAGCTTGCTGCTCAACTGGCAACAAACATTAACACATGTTCCAAAGCAATATAGCAATTTCAACTACCAAGAGGTAATCATGTAAATAACTCTATAGCCATGGCACTGCCCTCCGTGTTTGTTTGTTCTTTCTTATTATACAGATTTAGCTTGATTTTACAAATCTTTCATCTCCAACTTTCCAGGATTGCACCGCATCATGTTTGATGTCAGACAAACTCTGTCAGTCAATTAAATTTTGAAACTTACTAGTCCTAATTTATGGAAAACCCAATTCTGCACACTAAGTTTATATTGGATATGTTTTCAGTTAATATCTGCACCAAGAGCATGGACTGAAAGAAATGGACAAACATGAAATTTCACTTGCAGCATGCTTGGACATCATATGATCATACTTATGATTAAGTTGAGTCTTATTTTATGTTTATATAGGTTAATTGGCAGCTAGTATAATTTTATTTCATGTTTTGGCAGATTTTCTAAGTTAGGGCTTGGTAATTTTGTAATTTGCTAGACATGGACTGTAGGGGTAGCCACGGGTATTATTGAAATTTATGTGCAGTCTTTCAATTATAACTGATCAAAATCTATTAGTTTCCTCATTACGAGTCCTAATCCTAGCAGAATAAGGAGCACCATGCAGCCTATAAATACTTATGTAACCTTTCTATCCATTAAAGTTGGGTTTTGAGAATAGTATGAACCTTTTAAATCTTGCGTTTTGAGAACATTATGAATCTTTTAAATCTATGTAATTCATTATGCAGCCTTTCCTCAAGAAGTAATTCTAAGGAATTCAAAACAGAATTCCTACCGAGAGTCTTCTTCTCCTCTTTCACAAATGCTATTCTCACATTATTATCCACATCTCAAGGACAACCATGATTTCAGCCACACATACACACACACAAATAAAAAAATAAATAAAACTTATACAATCAATCCCCTCCCCCCCCCCCCCCCAAAAAAAAAAAATAAATAAATAAAAAAATTCCTTTTTCATAGCCTTAGGCCAATAATTTCACACCTAAAATCAGTAAAACCTTTGCTGTCTAGAGACTTCCAGCATCTATCTCTGAAGCTCCTCCAACCAAACACTATGGAAAACAAACCATCACACTTTTCTAGTTAGAAACCCTGGAAGCTTTCCTTTACCTAATAAAACCCTAACCCTAGATGCTTTCTTCTCAAGATTCATGCTCATATGGATTTGACAAATGAGTCACCCTAGTTGTCAGCTACCTAATGCAACCCCCTTGGAGCTTCTTTTTAATATAACCATTACTTGTCCACACACACACAAAAATAGCAAATATGTTTGAAGCTTTCTACGTTTTTTTTTTTTTGGGTGATGTTTTATGCAACCTTGCCTAAGGAGGATAGTTCCTAAAGGGTTCTAGGCAGGATTTCTTGACTTTTTCTTTGATGTTTCTTTTCTTTTTACAAAACATTATTCTTGACAACTATTCACCACTACCATTTTCCGCCCCAAAACCCTAGTCAATTAAGTTCAAATCACCCCAACCTTTTCCACTACCTTTTGGCCATTAAATCCACATCATAATACCAGAAATGTTTTTCAAAGAATTTCTGCTGCCAATTACAAAAATTGTACTGCCTACAACTTCTGAAAATCAAACCACAACCCATCTTTTTCCATCTAGAAACTTCTTTTACATTTTAGAACCATAACCCCAGAAGTCATTCCTACACTAAACCAACCACAAATCCAATCATAGGCAGCATTACAGCAAGTTTCCTAAAGTTGTCCTACAATAGTAAAAGGCTTCACCCACCATATTAGATCATAGGGCAGCATTTATTAGGCATTATCCTGCATCACATAGTGGGGCAGACCCGAGTCTCCAAACACTTAAGCTGCCGGATCAGTATAGCTTTCCACCAAACTAACCAATTACACAAGGTTGAAGGAAAGGGCACACAGGAAATGCACTCTTTCACAATGTAATGAATTGTTCAAAGTCAATAGTAGTCCAACAGGACTCAATGTTCTTTGTCATGCCAATTTCCAAGGTTTTTCATTCAACTAAACAAGACAGGTCCCAGTAGTATGTTCCAAATGTACTCCTAAACAAAACTATACAAGACAGTCCCAGTAGTATGTTCCAAATATACTCCTAAACAAAACTATACAAGACAGTCCCAGTAGTGTGTTCCAAATATACTCCTAAACAAAACTATACAAGCACTAAACAAGTGTCAATAAAGAATTGGCTCTACATTTTAGGTAGGGTGATATAAGCATTTCTCTCAAGGGGAGTAATTGGGTGCATACCTAAGGCTCACAACTTGTCCAACGGGTGTGGTTGTCCACCAAATGACCCAATTACACAAGGCAAAAAAAAGGGAACAAAGAACATGCACTCCTTCAAAATAAAATATCTTACAAGTTTTAAGTTAAGATACTAAGGTCAAAAACTTTCAAAAATAGGGCAACCCAGCGCACGAGGCTCCCATTGAAGTCTAGGGAGGGGAAGATGTATGCAATCTTACCCCATTTCTGGAGGTCAAAAACTTCTAGGTGCATACCTAAGGTCAAAAACTACACTAGAAATTAAGTTTTGCAATTAACTTATCCTTGACAGTGACATTATTACTTCTATTCTATGGTTTTAATAAATATTTAAATGGAGTATAGAACCTATAACTTCACTTGCAAGCAAGAAAGTGATGAGACTCGTAACTTAAAAATTGCCAAACTCACAACTTAAGTTCAATAAAAGTAACTACCCACCAAGTAAAAAATATGAGCACACTTTGTCATCTAGGCACTGTCTAGACAAAAATTCTCTCATGGAGAACCAACCACATTAGCTGTTAGACAAACAAACTTGGTTGCGCATGATGAGACTCGTAACTTAAAAATTGCCAAACTCACAACTTAAGTTCAATAAAAGTAACTACCCACCAAGTAAAAAATATGAGCACACTTTGTCATCTAGGCACTGTCTAGACAAAAATTCTCTCATGGAGAACCAACCACATTAGCTGTTAGACAAACAGTAAAAATATATTGATGGATATTATTGATTGATGTATTACAAGATAGATAAATTACAATTCCTATACAATCTATATATAGAAGAAAATGTGGTAGTAGGTGTAGTGGAGGTGATAGTTAGGTGAAGTGGAGTGTGTGGTGAAGTGGAGGTAGGTGAAGTGGAGTGTGTAGTGGAGTAGGTGAGGGTAAAGATGGAAAATTCTAACACAAACAAACTTGGTTGCGCAGTTTGTTTTACTGATGGCATTCACCAGAACTTGAATAGATACTTAGAAACACAATTCCATTATACAAAAACCATCCAGAAGCTATAAAAAAATGCATTTACCACCAAAATAAATGGAAATACCTTCAGTCCTCTGCAACTTATTATTATAGTACCTGTAGTTGAAAATGACATTGCCAGTTCTCAACCTGGAAAAATACAAGCAGCAATAATTACTAATTCATATGAAATGCTTAAAGGACAAAGTTCATGAACAAACAACAACAGCAGCAGCAGCACATCAAATGCAAAGAAGATAATTCAACTGCCTTGATTTCAAATTAAGGAAAAAGAAAATTAAAAAATAAAAACCCTACTTTATTTTGTTCTTGCAAAAAAGCTTACATATGGTGAACCCACCCTAACACCTTGATTACTGATTAGAAGAGCACAATAACTACTACAAGAGTCAATGCAGCTTTAACGTGTACCTATTTCCAAATAGTTCGCATAGCTAAAGTGCCCACCAAAATATTATATTCAATGTCATAAATAATTAAATTTCATTTTACCCTGCTGTTTTAGTCAGCCCATAAACAGAAATGTTTAGAAAACATAATGAAAAGGTCCAAGTTAATTTAAACAAGCTCCGAGATTGTTGCCAGTTTGGATTCAAAGATTTGAACTAGTCACCCAATCCGAGCAACAAATGCTTGCCACGTTGGCACTTTTTGTAAATTAATGGTTCAGATTTTGTCCACCTACATACAAACCCAATATAGATCCAAACAAAAAAAATCAGACAAAATTTAATGGGTTAATGGGAATACAAAACCTAAACCTTTGATTTACAAAAATTGCCGAGGTTACACAATCTGGGAGCTCAAATTATTCCCTCCTATCAATACCCAGACTGGAGAGAAGCCATGCTTTTTAAACAATGAAAAATGCTCCCAAAAAAATAACAGTAATGACGACCACCAAGGCCTTTCCCACATAGAAGGAAAAAACTTGTGAACACTCCAACATCTGTTTTATTTTTACCATAGAAGTCAGCGTTACATTACATGAGCCATTCCCAATCCTTGTGCCATTCCAAGTAATTCCTTTCTATATATTTAACAGTTCAAATTAATTATTAAATAAAAAATAAAAAAAAAATCAATTGATTCTCATGAAAGCAAAACATAGTAGGAAAGTCTCTTGCTGTGGTACTGAAGACCTGGTATTGAGTCCCACCTTCACCTAGGCTTAGCAGAGGTTTACGGGTTGGAGGAGCGCTATGTTCTAGTCAGTGATGCATGGTCAAGTATCAGAAACTATGTTCAAGGGACAGTTACATTAACTAACCCAATTGACCAAAAAATAGCTAGTTTGCAATTTCAGCAATCAAAATAACCTTTTGTCAGGAAAAAAATAATTTTTTTTTAGAAAATCAACCTTTTGACTGCTGGAAAAAGATTTACAAATGTATACAAATAGAAAACAGAAACACACAAATGCACATTACCACACAAAGCACAAAATATCATATAGACTACTTTGATACGTTGTCTACTTTGCAGAACTCAATAGATTAACATTTGGATACCATAACAAGTAATTAATATTAATACATAATGACTCAATGAGAACGAGAGTTGGATAACTTATTGGTTGATAGTATTGACAATAATAACAACAGGAACAGTTTCCAAGCAATGAGCAAAAAGGTAAACCAAATGCTGAAAACCAAAATAAAGAATATATAAATTCAGAAAGAAATGACATATACCGCATAATATGAGACAGTGAAGTAGGAATGTCATTATTTGAGTATGAATTATACAGAGATTTTTCCTTTGCCCCGACCTCTTCTGCAGAAATGAGGACTTCCACATGCTGTGGCGTATTCTATTGTGACCCAAACAATAGAAAGAAAACATTAACCAACAATATAACAATGATTATCCAGAAGAAAAAAATCAGAGAAATAAAACAAAATTCCCCAGAAGAATGAAGCAAATATTAGGAACAGAACCAACCACAGCTCCAGAAGGCATCTGAAATGCAACAGATTTGTCTTCATCCATACAACTCAACTGCAAAAGGAAAATCAAAAAATTATGTTATGAGAAGTGTGGAGATAAGAAAAAGAAACAGAATGGATCATGCACAACCAACCATTATAGGCTAGGCCAAAAGAAATCTTGGGTCATTCATTCTGGTATAATGTTGATATAGACAACAGAAATCACAATTCAACAAATTATTTTCCCAAGATCATAAACCATGTTAATAAAACCTTTGCAAGGACAGTGACTAGTCACATACAAAGAAGGAACAAGATTACATGCAATCTCAATGATGTCTGATATTTTAAATTTGGCTCCAATGGAGTTACTCATTGGTATTGTTTTCATTTTACTCAACTTCCTTTTCAATTTCCGTATTTTGAGTCTTCAAAAATAAAATAAAAAAAGCTAGCAGTTCAACAACACAATCATTTTCATCCTTCTATGAAATCGTTAAATCCACATCCATTATTGCTAGATCCATGGTTTTGAGCCAATGTATACAACACATCTTCTACGTTAATGTGCATTAAAAAAAATACAAAACATAATCACATATAAACCATGGAATGACTAATTATAATTACTTTTGGCAGGCTGGGTGATCAGCTGATCATCTAGGGTCGCCTGAGTATTCTCGCAACTTTTCCAATAGAATGGATCTCAAAAATTGAGTTATGGCAAGATGAACAACTAGCCTAGCCAACAGTAGGGCAAGCAGCATGTGTCATACATTCTCGTACGTATAATTATTACTCTCTTTAGTAATTGACCAGTTTGTGTCTTCCAGAATTGTTGTCAGTATTAATATTACCACCAACAAGATGAACATTGTACTTCACTAAATCATTGGATTGGAAAATAATACAAACTGTAAAAGCGAAAAGGGGGGGGGGGGGGGGGGGGGTTGGTGGCAATAATCCAAGATTTTAACTTGCATAGCCCCTTGTTTCATCTGCTTAACAGGAGAAAAGATAAGTCTCCTTATAAAATTCAAATCTCCTAGTGTACCTACTAATGAGATGTGTGCAAATTACAAGAGGGTATACCTTCATGAAACAAGAGTGCATGTCAACAGTCGACATCATCTCCGCTCTCTCCCCTAAACTCAAGTTTGGAGACTTCTCCCATGACAAATAGAGTAATTCCATTGGTATCTTGCCCAGTAAGCAGTATCCTTCAACATTTGCTGTCATGCACATAAAAAACCAAATGAGGGGAAAAAATGTTTGTCATTAAGATATGTGTATTTGTAATGCCATTGGTATCTTGCCCAATAAACAGTATCCTTCAACATTTTCTGTCATGCACATAAAAAACGAAATGAGGGGGGAAAATGCTTGTCATTAAGATATGTGAAAACACAAGATAACCAATGATGTAGCACATTCATTAATATCTTTCCTTGTTACTTTAGGTTATGCTCACTAAATATCCCAATCAACCACAAATGTTAATGATCAAGTCAACTAAGCCATAAACACCTACAAGTAAAAAATTATTCCAAGGAAAATGGCACATATACAATAATATTTTTCTTTCTGTTTTCCCTCCTGATATTGGCAAGTAAAGAATCTCATTCCATGTTTTACTCTACAATGAGGCTTTAAAACCCTCAACATGTGATGTGGTCGTAAAAAGGACAGGAATACCACCTCAGCTCTAGGGCCCAGAATGTACAAAATGGAAATTTGGCTGGTTCATGTAACATCACTAGCTACAACTTCTGACCATTAATTAAAAAACAGTATCATATGAGTAATGAGTTATTCTATATCATGCAAAGACACATCAAAATTCATACGGTACCTGCACTGGTCAACACAGCATGGTACATGGACATGTGTGACACATGTTGATTAAAAGAATTAACTTGTTAAGGGAGATTGTTTAGATCTTGTTAAGTGTATAAGTTGTCCAAATCCTTGGCAATATGATCACCGCAAGAGAAATTTTGGTGCCTTGTATTGGACTCCAGGAGCAGCCATATGGGAAACTGAGATTTGTTACACTAAACATTTTTGGGGCGTTACTACATCTTGAATTGTGACATTTGAATTTCCCCTCTCTTACTGTTTTCCTATTTAGTCTATTTTTCGGTCTTTTTATACAATCAGTTGAAGCCTTGGAGTCATTTTTGTCTTTCTTTTTTTTGTATTTTTTGTTCTCTTCATTAGTAATTGCTTAATACTTTTCAATAAAAATGACAAGAAAGTGCCAGACATGGCTGTCTTAGGACGGATAGCACCTAAAAAGCTTGTGCAACCAGAGGTAAATAACAAATTACTTGCTCACTAGAGGTTCCTTGATAAGTGTAAACATGATACTATGTCACAATATCAATGAAGCAAAGCTTCAAATGTTGTGTATTGTTGGTGAGCTATAATTTTTGTCTTGTATACATCCTATATACAGAGATTGTGCCCCTTTTGGACCTTTATGGAGCCTTTTTTACTTGTTAAAAAATCAAAGTGGCAAAGCTTGCAACATCTCATGTTACATAGTCAACTCATTTCACCCAACATATAGAGAAAAGAAAAAGGGAAATAAAAAACAGATTTGAAAACTTGAATAATTGACCCATGTTCCCTCCACTTGGGGTTAATAATATGGTCTGCAACTAGGGAAACAAATCCACCTTTCACAATCACCCAAGTTCATGCAACATAAAGTACTCACAGAAGTGGCCAAGAGGCAGGTGACTCAAACTTTCACCAAATTGTTTTGTTGCGGGAGAGAGTCTCATGTACTTTATACCATATATAGAATTCTTCATGGTTTCTCAGGGCACAAAGAAAACATGGTCTTAACAGAGGTAGTCAATGCAGTTCTCTAACAATGAAAGATCTATGGAAAAACCTCGTATACAAACATGGATAGTACAGATCTCATAGCAAATGTTAGAGATGTGGACCAAATGCTTGGTTCGAAAATTTGGGTTATCTCCACAGAATGTGAATCTAACTTCATTTATACTACACTATTGTGTCTAACTTCACTCTTATCATGTTAAAAGTCTTCACGGAAATGCTCTTAAATATCCACCACAAATGGAACTCTAATACATAAGTCTTACCCAAATCATTAATATTTCCATAAGGAGCCACTATGAAAATTTGTGAAAAGTTGTGCAAGTCCAAATGAAAATTACTACGTTTCAAAGGATTGACATTGGTTAAAGAAATAAAAATGATATTACAAAATGTTTAAAAGAGTTTATGGAAGTACAAAACATGTTCAAGAAGACCTCATTCTTCTTGATGTTCAATTTAACATAGGATATTCCATAACTAAACAGGGTTAAATAGTCATTCACGAGGAACACTGAGCAGCTATTCACCAAATTAGTGCATTAAAATAAAACAAACTAGCATGCATAATGTTGTTATTGTCTATTAAAAGTATTACAACATAATGATATTACAAGCATCCAATCCTATAACTATCTATAAATCCGGTAAGCCCCGTGATTTTCAACCATTTGATTAATGCCAAGCTTTAATCCACCATCAACCTAATTGGATAAATAATCTACACAACAGAAAAAAATAAAAATAAAAAGGAAGACAAGAAAACAATGGATTATTTTAGGGCAAATTTCACTTTACCTATTATGGTTTGGGTCAGGTGTGGATTACCTCCTGACATTCGAAAATCACTACATAACCTTCATGTGGTTTGTAAACTAAAATACATATTAATAGAAGTTCCCCCTCTCCCCCTAATTCTCATTTGAAAATAACAACATAACCCTCTTATAGTTTGTGGACTGAAATGCAGCGTTAAATCTTTTATCCAAACTTAACAGCAAGTGTGAAACATGTATCAAACATAAGGGGGTTATATGCTCATTTTTAATTTCAATGGGGTCGCACATGGAATAAAGTACAGGAGGTTAAAGTGCTTTTTCCCTCGCAAACAAATGGCAAACATATCCTTAGTTCACATAGTTAGGTTACTTGCATATAGGTATATTTTAGTCTTTTTCATTAAATTGTTAACAAGCAGGCCTAATGGTGCACTTCAGTTCACAAATCACTGGGGGGGGTGGTTGTAAAGTGAAATTTGCCCATTATTTTATAACCCCCATAACTGTGGATAAAGATGTCCAAAACCACTTTTGGCTATCCAAACACCATATAAGCGGGCCACAGTGATCAACAAATGTTACTGTAAAGTATAGCTAAGAAGCAAGGGGTTTTTTAATGTCCGGGGTATTTATCATGACTAATTAGTAAAAATAGATAACAAAGAGGTTCTCCAACTAAAGCACATCTTACATGGAAAAGATGTCATGTCCTTATGGTTCTGTGTTGGATCAATAGCGCACACAGAATTTGTGACTTCAGCTGCAAAAAAGATAGAAAGTTACTAACTATTGCGACAAAAAGCATATTTATGATCTCAAATTAATGAAATTATACATATCATGGCATACCACAGCTGACAAACAAAAGAGCAAGAGAGCCAGATTTGACCTCCGCTGCTAGCTTGTTAATCTCGGGAAGAATAAAATTTGCCTGAGCTCGATTCATCCCCTCAACACCAGTAAAAGTGGTCAAGATACATGCCCGACTAAAGCGAAAAACTGCAGAGTACTGTCAACCACCAACGATATCAGGAAAGCAGAATAGATGCTCAACGAGTAATTAGAAACATTTCTACCTCTCCAACTGCAAAGTTAGAATCTGGTCTTGCCAACAATATGTACAGAGGAAAAAGCCTGTGAGTTTGCAATCCATCATGTGGCATCCCTGACAAGGAAATTGTCATTTGAATCCTACAGATTTAAACAGAAGTGATTAATTAGTGCCCATTATATAATTAACAATTACATGCTAAATCTTCAAACAAACAGAAATCGTATTTTCAAAACTAAAAGTGTTACAAAAAGCATGTTTCTAAAGAGTCAGTCTTCAGACTAAGCTGCTAAACAGACCTAGAGTCTGTAACCAGTAACTCAAAGCTCATTGAAGATATAATTTCCCTTCTGAGTCTAAACAGATATCACAGAATATTCCCTTTTTGGCAACATGGAACAAGACAAATGAAAATTTCCAGCCAAGGGAACCTAAAGATGGCATACAGACACACTTTTTATGTCTCTTTATATCTAGGATCCCAAACTAAGAAGCACAAACACGGACACACAATACAACACAAACAAGACGTCGAACACTCTGACATGATAATTTCCCCAAAAAATTGAGACAAAACACATAAGGGACGCACAAAAAAAATATATAATTTTCTAAATTAATTATGTCATATATATCAATATTTCACTTCTAGATAATAAAAAAATGAAACACAACACTAATTCTTAAAGTCAAGTAAGGATTAATATGTATAAATCTATTTATAATTTAATATGTATAATTCTTTATTGTTTTTCTTTTATCATTAGATCTCAAGTTATTTTATTCAAACTTGTAATGTACTAATGTGTGTCTAAGCGATGAACAAGTGTGCCCCCCCTAGTGTCTGAAGTGTGTCCGAGTTTTTTAAAAAATAAAATAAAAATAATAAGACGATACATTTAGACTTGTGTCCAATGCATGCCGGAAAGTGTGACACGGACATGACACCTTCTTTCCAAAGTCTTTTAGCCACAAGCTAACCTTCTATCCAAGGTTCTTACAATCCTACTTTTATTTCCTGCAACATGATAGTATCCAAGTTCACACTCCCTAATAACCTCTAGAATAGCTCTTTTTTCACTTTTTTCAGCAATAAAAGAAAATTTTATTAATTTGAGGAAAAGTACAACAAGAGGACAAGAAGTCCTCTACGAAAGAAGAAAAGACATCAACACACAAAATAAAAAGACAATTTACACATCGCAAACTGCCCTCCAATGTCAATTTTGATCTAACACAAAATCTTCATAATTCACTACCTCAAACTCCTTATAGTCTAGAAGAGCCTTTGCCTCTTTACCTAAATCTTCAAAACTATTCATTGCTTTCAAGCCCCAATATCATATTTTCTAAATGAACAAGAGGTACTAGATCAAAGGAAGTGAACAAAGAGATCATAGTGTCATCTTCATCAAATTTCTTTGACGTGCTTTCATCGTGCTATCCTACAGGAGAGAATGAAATATTGCAATGTCCTCCCAAGCCATCATGTGAATAGCTTCCTACAAGTATTGGTAAGAGAAAGGATTGTCATGCCCCTTGTCTGCTCAAGCTGAGAAATAATAGTGAGACAGAGTTTGAGTGGTCCAATCAACACAAACATAGTGAATTGAGTGTAAACTCTTTATAAAACCCCTCATGGGTTTCGTATCAGTGTTACGGTCACATATCGGCCGATATCACAGAGTAGCAGATAGTATCAGTTGATATATCAATGAATATATAAAATCTTGTTACGTAAAGGTTGATATTTAAGACACTGAAACCCTCCATTCTTCACCCCATCACTTAAAGGCTTCCCTTACCCTTCGTAGGAATGAAAATAAAAAGAAGCTTGAAGAAAAAATTTAAAACCTAAAAGTTCTCCAAGAGAGAGAGATGGTGAAAGTTTCAATGAATTCTAAGATCCATCAAAAGCCTTCTAGCAAACATATATATATTCTAAAATTCAGGAACAATGAGGCGGTTAGAGTGTTATGTACTTTGCCATTTGGGTTATATCTTGTGTTGTTGCTTTGAGCTTTATTAGTTTTGACCTAGCCTCTCAGGTTATGAGAGAATTCTTTTTGGTTGGCTATGTTTTTTTGAGTTGTCAAGTGTTGTTTTCTCGAAGGATAGCTTCATGCCTTTTGGCAGATCTTCATGTAACCCTTTGGGTCGTGTATTGAGCATCATTGTATATCCTTATTTTTTGTTAATAAAATCACTCACTCACCAAAAAAAGGGAGGGGGGGAGGAGGAAAAGGAACAAGAAGTTATCATTTATAAAAAAAAAAAAAAAAAGAACAAGAAGTAATAATTTTAAGTATAATTCTCAAAGTAGCATCAGCCAACAATTCAGCTTCAACGTTCAAAGTACTAATTTACGATTCTAACTTACAAAACTTGCCTTCAATGAGAAAATTTGTGAGTTTGTCTATAAATGAATTCTAACTTACAAAATTTTATTTATATCAAACATAAATATGTATGCATCTATGTAAGATAATAACTGCTAGCGAGGCTGAAAATGAACTAAGCTGCCCTTTATGTGAGCATATATAGAATAATAATGGCTAAAAGGGTTACAGATGAACCTAGATGTTCACAAACAACTGGGGCTCACCTCAGCTAAGGTTCTCCCAAACAATTCTGTTAAAGAAAATGGCCAAAGAATTTTAAGATTGGCTATTGAACAAGCTGATCCTGAACATGAACGAGCTCAAGCATAAATGGTCACCTCATAAGCATGTCTCTATTCATCTTGGTGAAATAAGAACTTTGATATTCTAGCAACAGATGTCATGTACTCATCACAGTAGTATCTTTAGGCTCTAATTTTTATATTGTTACAATAGTAATATTATTAGCCTAACGATCAACTTTCACTATGCTGTAAAAAATATTGAATTTTTGAAAAGCTAATGTACTAAGAGATTTCTAAAGTGGCTTACAATATAACAAAAGAAGAGAGGGGAGAGGATGAAAGAATAGACCATTGTCAACCAAGAAAAAATGGAGCGAGTAGAACAAGTTTAAACCAAGCCCACCTAACATTAAGCCAAGCCCAATTTATAACATAGGTGTTATAACAATCGGCCAACTACTTCCTTGGTTCAGTTTGCAACCCTAATAACTAATATTAACTCAAGCATAAAGGAGGGCCCAAGAAAATGGCACATGCTATGTAAGAGTCAACATATTACTTATTTATTTATACCAGAGGCATTGATAAAACACTCATAATGGGAGGATGGATTATCCACATATATCCTAGGTTTCAACATGCATCATTTGTATTGCTGTGTGTTTGTAATTTGAAAGATACAGCCATGATCTCAGACCTATCGCATTCACATGCCAATAGTCAGAATATGACTATTCATACAAAAAGTGCAATATCACATACTTTGAGATAATGCTCTCTGACTAGCAAATAAAAATAAACGAAAATTGTCAAAAAAAATCAGAGTCATATTAGGTCTAAGAAATTTAACCTCTTTTTGTGTTTTGCTTGTATTTTGTACCGCAAGCATCTTTGAAGAAATGATGGCTGCACAAAAATGTGCCTCTAGTCAGAAACATAAAATCAAAAAGTATACAAAATAACAATAGAAATAGATAAAGAATCGAAAAATTAAGCCCATCATCATGAATGGCATAATTAAAAAGACACTGCAGCCAAATATCTAAAGAGGAATATTGATGAAGTTTGTGTGGCCAAAGAAACAATGCACTAGCTAAACATTGAAGACATTCATCACCACCACTACACCAAGCCATGGGACTAGAGCAATGATGTAGATAGGCAAACTGCCTAGCATCAATCATGATGACCATATCCTGTAAAAAAAAATACCAAACTCCAATTATATCAAATCAAACAACAAAAAGAGGAAAATTTTCATTACATTTCTAACAGCACGACGTTGAAGAATATTGTAAAGTTCAACAGGCTTGCAGTATATTGAAAGGCTCTCCTCAGCTGCAATTTCCTCTTCTGGAGATAAATGCAAACGAGAATCTGGGCGGCACATCTGATCTGCACCTCTAGAGTAGCTGCAATTGCAAAGAGAATTCCTGTTCCATGAACTGGAATAAATTAAGAGTTCTATTCACACTCCAATGATTATATCGCAAGCACCAAATAACTCCCTCATTTCTCACACAAAGACCAAATAAGAGTGCATGTATTCAATTTTGTTTTACTTTTTAGCTGGTGCATATATAAAATAAAAATAAAAAATTGTCAATTCAAATAGGGGGAAAAAGATGAAGAACCACTCCAAGTGTGAATCCTTAGTCATTTATTTAGGACAGGTTACTTAATTATTTGGACAGTACTAAAAACATAAATAACATGAACTTAAAGAGAATATACGTGGTTTCACGAGCCACTAAAGGTATGCCTGGCATTCTGGTCAGTCAATGTTGAAATATAAATTCATAGCTATCTCCTCTGTTCCAAGGTTAGTAATCACTAGCCACCCAAACCTGAAAGAAATGATCATCATTGAATGCCTTCACTTAAAAAAAAAAAAAAAAAAAAAAAAAAAAAAAAAAAAAAAGAGCAGCATTCCAATGTTTCAGCTTTATAGCATCAACAGTCCAATCATTGATTCATGCCAGCAATATGAGTTGGTTTTCTTTTAGTTATTAGTTTACAACATTAGTCCACAGCCAACACAGAAGATCACGCAATGCATCAAAAAAGAAAGCAAAACAAATGCAATCATATAAATGGTGGAAAGACGGAAGAAAAAAAGTACGTAAAAAGTTAATGCATTACATATTTTATGGTCTTATATCTAAATGGGTAATGCTATACAAACCAACTTTTTATACAAAAAATTCATACAGAATGATGTGTATCAGGGAAATTCTATTTCCACACACCAATCTCAGGTCACACACTTAATTTCCGAATTTTTAGTTCGGAAGTTAACTTCCAAACCAAAGATAGAGCCGAATCAAATAGTTTTCCTCATAAGTTGATTTCCAAACCAAAAAAAAAAATGAGTGCACTAAGAGGAAACCATGTGTGGAAATAGAAGCCGAGTGCTGCTAATACCAGAATTATCCTTATAAAAATTTCACCCACTCAAATGCACACCCCTACACTCCTAAAAACCATTATCTCCCAAAACCCTAAAAAAAAAAAAAATCCCCAGAACCCATTTTCTCCCTCACGATGGTAAAAGAAAAATGGTTCTGAAATTAATCGATTGGTGTAAGGAACGTGTTCTTTACATATTCACTTTTTTCTTCGCATTAGTTGCGGTTGTCTTCCTTCAATTCCATAAATTTCTTTGCTCAACGCTAAACCCTAAACACAACAAATAAATATATATATAGTTCGAAGAGAGAAAATCCGCATTTTGCTCAACCTTAGTTCTCGCTCCTCCCCATCCCCCGAAGTCTCTCTCCTCTCTCTTTCACTAAGAATGTTCGGACCTGTGTTCCCGAACAAATAAGCTATGTTCGAGCTTGTGTTCCCGAACAAATAACCAATATTCGGACCTGTGTTCCCGAATTTTAGTCATATGTTCAAGAGTTCAATACCCAAAAAAATACGAACAATTTTCACCATTTTTGCCATATTTTCCAAAAAACTTACCCTTATAAGACCAACTTTCTCCAAGTTGAGAACACAATCAAAGCTATGAACCTCCTCTAAACTTACATTGTTATACTCCTCTCTCGTCTCATTAAATTGTGGTAGTTAAAAAAACTTCCACTCATTGCCATTACCGAAGAAGTGTGTGTAATCGAATGGTTGCCACCATTGCCGCCAGAAGGTTCTCAAGTTTTGAGAGTGGGATTTGGGGAAGATGGATGGGTAATGATGGAGGTAGGTACTTTCATAAACCCTATTTCATGATTTAGTGGGTGTGTAGGTTTAATTGTGAGGTAGGGTGTCCCAAAATGATTAATAGCATTTTTAGTAATTTTATTTAAGGTTATTATTGTAATAAAAAGAAAGTCAAAAAATGGGAATCCAAAATAATAAATAGGGTGATAATTGCAGCACTCATAGAAGCTTTTCCATTTATATCCATTAATTGAAAACAAAAAAAGCATATTAATATCTTTCATAATTGCAACAACGCCATTCCCGCATCATTCTATGAAAATTTTGTATGCCTAGCATTTTCATATCTAAACATTCAACTTGGCATATAAAGAATCAAGAACTATATTGCAAATATTACTTACTAGGTAAGCAATTAAGAGTACATAGTGCATAGCTTCCCTCATTCTACTCCCCATTAATTTGTAAATTCTCATGCACTCACAATGAGAGTATTAAATTAAGAGTTAAATCTTGTGGACAATTCCACTATCAATCTAAATTTTGCAAAAACTCAAAAACAGACTTTCCCCAATGAAAGACAAAATGTCTCTTTACATCAAAAGTACAACTGATTAAAATGTTAAAAAAAAAACCCAAAAAAATATATATAAATTGAACAATTCAACCAATCCAAAAGAGAGTTTCGTTTCCTCAGGTGAAAAAATAAACAATGGGAAAATCTATCATCCTTTCCGATTATTTTCGCAGCAGCCAAACAAGCCAAAAAATAAAAATAAAATCAAAATAAATAGATGTGCTCGTTGATCGCAATCGAAGAGCTATGATGGAGGTGAAATCAGAGAATGTACGCATAACAAACTGAAATAACAACCGTAGCAAGGTGGATCAACAAGAGATTTAATTGGGAACAAAAAATACAAACCTCATATAGCTAAAACCCTAATCTTTTTATCTGAAAATCGTAGGTCTGTAATCGTATTCGAACACATATATGGATGTAGAAGATAAACACGGAGAGACTAAAAAGAGGGGTCGGATCGGAGTTGAAATTCAAGACCTAGAGAGAGGAGAGGGAGTTTTATGTAGTTGAAGCTTATCGAGTCGAGTTGACGGCTTACCTGACTGGCTGACTAACCTGGACCTGCTGCTGTTGATGTCAGGGGATATAAAGGGAACGACCTTTTCCCATACCTAGTATAACAAAATGCCCCGATTTAACCGGGCTAAAATTAGGTCTGCTTGGGCGACCGAGCTCCTTAATTAGTCAACCGAGGTGGTTTGGCACTCTTTTAAAAGCGTCGGATTTAAAAAATATATATATTATGGGAAATCCTTGTGCCTCGAATTGAACTTCCTCCGATAGTTCCAATTTGTATTTCGACAATGCTACGTAGCTCAAATTTTGTGACTCAAAAGTGGCTCAAATGGCTAAAACGACGTCATTTTGAGTACAGAACAACATAAAAATAGCCAAAACGACGTCGTTTTGGCCATTTGAGCCACTTTTAAGCCACAAAATTTGAGCTACGAAACATTTTCCTTTGTATTTACCAGTCGGTCGGTCGGTCGGTTGGACGATCATGACCGGTCACTTCCTGGCCGAGCAGCTTCTGCACGGTCCGGGGCAGCACACACTCAGCCCAAACTCTGCCCGGCCCAAGTTCTGGTAGCCCATCTCCGGGTGAACAGTCGATCATCTTGGCCCAATGCTCTGCTGGGCCCTCAACTTGCTCGGTCTATACCTCGACCCAACATCGGATCATAAATCACCCTCTCAATTATCAAATTTTTTGTTATGCTGCGGATCGGATAAGGTTAGGGATAGAGGGGGTGTGTCAAGAGGGTCGGGTTGAGTCGGGACGAGGGTAAACAGCGAAAATGTAGGTGAGGTAGAAGGGCCCCAACCCATACCTTACTCGTTACCATCTCTACCCATACCATTATCCGAGTTAGGGACAGAACGCTATGAGTTTGTGAAGGTGTTTTATGAATCTATTTTTGCTATCCGAATCGTTTATATTGTAAAGTTAGTTGAGTAAATCATTAAAAAATAAATAAAATCAATTTGTCATCTATAATCTATAACAAGACTACATTGTGTTTAAAAAAAAATAAACAGTTAACATAATTTTGACAATTTTTTTAAAAACAATTATGGTTCAATCATAGGGCTATGTATATTTGATTAACCGCATTTTTTATATATAAATAATATATTTGATTAACTTATAATATAAACGGTTTAGATTATCAAAATAAAATCAAAATGAATCTTAATCGAAATGCCACAGCGATTTCGTTCAATTTGTGGGTCTCATTTTGGATATAATCTGAACTGTTCATCTCGTAAATTTTGTAATAAAAATCATTTGTGCAAAAAGTTAGTTTTATCAAATATCGATAAATAAATTAACCAATCACATTTTGTTTTATAAAATGATTTATTTCACTTACTATCCCTACACTATCGGCCAAGATTTCAAAAAGTGACAGTTGCGATGGTAGACGCTGCTTGGTACGCCCACTTTTGTAGTGTGACGAGAATTCACACCTGTAAACGATTATTTTGGTGTTACATAACGGTCATAATGGTATTGTAACAATCCATTACACATTATTACACACATTTACAATATTCTGAACAACTTCCTTTTCAAAAAAAAATAATAAATAAAAGTTTATAAAAAAAAAAGAACAAATACTCAAATAACCCAATCTCAAAGAAAAAATATGGTATGAATTTTTTTTTATATAATTTATGTGAACTAAAATATATATAAATATTGGTTGTATTTATTTTTATAATCATTTCATTTCATATTAACTGCAAATATTTTTTATTTTGTTAATATAATGTGTTGTCTAAAAAATGTCTTTAAAAAAATCAATAGCTCAAAAATAATTTTTATTTATGGCACAATTTTTATTTTAGAATCATTTCATTTAATACTTAATTGTAAATAATTTTATTTAGTTAGTTGTAAAGTATTATCTAAAAAAATGTCTTTTAAAAAAAATCAATAGCTCAAAAATAATGTTTACTTATGGTACAATTTTTATTTTATAATCATTTCATTTAATAATTGTAAATATTTTTTATATAGTTAGTTCAAGTATTGGTCAAAAATAATTTTGTACACATTTAAATTTAATTATTCTTAAACTCATTAACTATTGAAATAAAATATAAAGAACTCATCTTATAGTGATTTAAAAATATAAAATACATTAGATCATACTTAAAAACTAACAAAAATTAATAAAAATCTACTTAATCCCTAAACTATCAATTCAGTTTACTAAGGCCCCGTTTGGAAATAAACTATTTGACTTTGTACGAAAAGGGCGTATAAAAAAATAAAAAGAGTGGTGTGATGGGATGTTTTATTTTATTGATTATTTTAGCCTAAAATGAGCTATTTTAGCCCATCTCAAATAGCCCCAAGTCCATAACATATATAAATTAAAGTCCATTTAGGGATGGTTTAAGGTTGGCTAAGATCTCTTTTGGGATAAACTAAAAAAGGACGACTCTATTTGCACCCAAAAATTAGGTTGAACACTTGAATTTAATGAAAAAAAAATTTATTACTATTAAGTCCCTATTTAAAATGATCAAAAAGTACTTGACATTGGAAAAATGTGTAAATCAACGTGTTTTAAACATCCCATTCATTATATTAGTGTGACAACCCCATAATACATATCATGATTATAAGAATTAAATTATGTGTTAGTTATTGATTATATGGGTTAATTGATGAATATCTGTCCAAATTGGGAAAATATCTACTAGGCCTATGAGTTTGAAACTGAAATTGATGGCCTCAATAGGTTCAGAAACCGGAATGGTGTACATGGATAAGTTAATTGGAATTTTTAGAGCCTAGTATGAAGTTTTGTAAAAATTTGATTCAGAATAGATTAAATTGATTTTCATTAAATATTATACATATATATATAAGTCTTGCTTGGCTCAACAAAAAGAAGAGGGAAGAGAAAGATATTTTGAGAGAGAGAGGGTTCTGGAGAAGAACGTAGAGAGAGAGAGAAAGAAAAAAAAAAAGCTTCTAGAGAGAGAGAGCTCAACATCCATGGAATTTGAAGACAAAATTGAAGAAGAAAGACTTGAAGAGATTTAAGGGGAAAGCAAAGATTTGAACTAAGGTATGGAAATCTATCTTGAATCCTTATGATTAATTCATCAATTTCATAAAATCATAAAGAGATTTGAAGATTTGAAACCCGTTTAGGTTAGGGTTTTGTGTTGTGTATTTAATTGAGCTAAATTCAAGAAATTAGAACTTGGGTCCTTTGATTTTACATGATTGGAGTTCAATCTTGTGAATCATATATGAAATGAACTCTAGATTGTCCATACAACAAGATTTATGCAAGGATCAAGTGTATTTGTGGGTTATGTTTTGGAACTCTTAAGATTATGAAAGATGAGATATTGATTTTGAACTTGAGACAAAAATTAATATGTTTGAGATGAGATTGCACTTGAATACTGTTGGTTTATCATGTTTTAAAGGAAGATTACATGAGATCTTTGGCTTGAAATTGGGTTTGAAAACTCACACTTTGATGAATTTTCAGACTGTTTGATTTTGCCCAGACCGCACGAGCAGCCACAAGTTCTGCAGAGCGGAAAATGAACAAAAACAAGGAATTTCATTCTGGTTAAACCATCGCTCGAGCGGCCAAGGCCACCGCTCGAGCTGTCAAAATGGGCGCACGTACGGCAAACTCTGTTTTAACTTATACCTGGAAACTTCAAATATGCATATCTCTCTCATCCGGACTCTGTTTTAGATGATTCTTCAGCCTAAATTCAAGCCCCGAAAGTCTAGTTTCCAATGATGATGGTCTCACATCCAAATGCTAAGTACACAAATAGATATATTCAAATTAGTAAAGGCTATTCACTTTCTTTCTAACAATTTCATGCTATTTCCTCGTCTAACTCAATTTCCTTTCGTTTCTTCTTATTTTTCTAGACACAGATTATGACCCATTGAAGGCTAATGAGTTTAGAATGAACATAAATAATTGGTTAAGGCAAAGTAAGGGATCGGTTTATTTGATTAAGAAAAGTGAAGATAAGTAAATTTGACCGAGAGTGTAATATTATGTTTTGATATGTTGTGCTATGTGCATTGTGATTGCAGGTCAAGATTCGAGGACCAGTCAACCATTTCTGGAAACTACTGTGAGTAATACCTCTATAAAGATATGTTCTATTTATTTATTTAACTATTCATAATTGTTGTATTTTCTAAAGATTGTATTTATTCGACATGAGTGAATTTCACGAACTAAATTGTTATGTAAATGTGGGCCTGAGGCTGTTCTGCTATATATTGGGCCTGAGGCCATTTTGATATATTAGACCCGAGTTCGTTTTGTCATATGTGGACCCGAGACAATTTTGATACATATTGGGCCCGAGGCCGTTTTGATACATGATTGGGCCCGAGGCCGTTTTGATATCTATTGGACCCAAGGTCGTTCTGTTAATATGTGGGCTCGAGGTCGTTCTGTACCTTTGTGGGCCTGAGGCCGTTCTAATATGATGGGCCTAAGGGCGTTCTGTTTATATGATGGGCCTAAGGTCATTCTATAAGCGTGAAAATGGATGTTTGTAAATTGTCATATGACTCATATTTATGAAATGTTATTTTATATGAATGAATGGGTGTCCTTTTTTTGAAATGTGATCCTGACCCTCCGCTTGACCCTTGTGGTCCCTTTGATACGCCTTTAGGCTCTTTGTATATGAACGGATTTTGATACAATAAGTGTTTGTTATGAAAATAATATTTGGAAATAATTTAAGATATATATTTCGCAATTGTAAATCATGTGTACGTAATGCGGTGGACACCATTCATTAACCTCTTTGTTTTGGTATTATTCACTGGGCTCTAGCTCACCCTTATATATATATATATATGTGTGTGTGTGTGTGTGTGTATGTACGTGAGCAATCAAAGGATCAGTATTAGAGTTTGTTCTAGAGTCTACCTCTCTATCAAGCCACCTATGAAGTGCCTCCATGTAGAGGCGTAGTGTTATTTCGCCAAGCCTTTTGAAGTCTTTTATATAG